TTCCTTGGGGATTTCAACAGGGCGTAATTCAACGGTGACACACGTCAGATGTTATCGTTATAACAATAACGACGCTGAACCCGTCGTTATAACAACTTCAACTACATTTTTTCACTTTACGCTTCTAAAAATTTCCTGCTCTGCCTATCCTATTTCTCCACCTCACAGAACTTTATAACCACCGTTTTTGCAGGACAAAATGCTGGGACTAGGAGTATATGAGTGGGGCTACATAAGCTACTTTTGCCCACAGTTATTCAAGACATGAAAACGATTTTTGGACGTTCGGTATTTGATCTGCGTCGCTGGAGGAGAGAAGGGGTTGAGCTTTTTGCATTCGCTGCCGCAAAACATCACGTGTGGAGAGATACAACAGGCGACCTCATCGAGGCCAGCTAAATCAGGTATGATCGCAGCCGTAACCAGTACAAGTGAAAGTAAACATGCTCATGGCTCACCTTGTTGTCAATGGAAGCGAGCTCCTGGTTGGACTGCGTGTTCTGTAGGTAGTTCTGGACCATACACTTGTAAACATCATCCTAGAAAAGCGAGAAACAGACATAGAAAGGTTGAAGCAACACTACTGGGCTGTTTTGCAGTTTGCCGTAACTAGAACAAAAACGGGCGATCATTGACAATGAAAAGTTTTGAAGCAAAAAGGAGGATGGGACACCATAAGAAAACCCCGAATTTTCGACAGTAAAAAGGGGTGGACGAAAACTACTTATGAATCACACATTTACTTATCCGTCTAAGTGGTAGAAAATTCTGCCCAACCTATTTAAGTGAATATGCTGGATTCGGTGGAAAGAACCTTGTGTGAAAGAGCGCAGTACTACATACAAGAGTATTGGTTAAAAAACGAAGGTGGCTGCGAATAAAGTGGTAAAACACGAGCGGTATAGTTTGTAACCTAAAAACATACTTTACTGTGACATGGCAGTTAAGATAAGGGTATTTTCAGCACACTAACAGAACCGAAAAGGCAAAAAATCTAACCCGTGCCGTTGATTTTTTGTCCTCTCCTTGACGGGAAGATTTCACACTTATAGAACAGCATTAACCGACAGTGAAATATTGTCGTCGGTTTTGGTGCTGCTGCTATATCCGATTATGAACTCTTGTACAAGTTTTAAAACCCAGAACAATTTTTTTAAAAATGTTCCGGTGTTCGATCACTCCTATCCTTCGTTCATTTAATACGTACGCCTGAACATATTGCAGACAGTGGTGTCGACTTTTAAAGGGTTGATGTACAATGTACAACGTGCAGTAACCGGGTAAGTCAAAAGGTCAGAGTTAATTAAATGGGCGACAACGGAGGGAAGAGGGCTGAAACATACCACTTCAACTTCAATGTCATAGCAGGATGTTTTGTTGGGATCCTCGCCTTCGTTGATGATGACATGGTTAATGACGATCGGGTCGGGTGCATGTTGCAGTTGGGCCAGACGATTGGGAATTTCTGCGAAACGCATTCTCTGACAGCCGAACACCTGTTCCAAGTACTGATCACAGTTAATGAAGTCCTTTTCGTGCGAGTCCTGTAGCCTGGGTTTAGAAAAGGCAAGAAACATTCGGGTGAAAAAGTTAGACGTACTGTAATGGCGATTTGAGGCCAATGTTAACACCCCAAGTATGTGTATAGAAGACGAAGGCGTTTCGATCACGGGAATTATAATTTTATTCTTCTGAGACGGGCCACGAATGTAACTTCACGCCGGGAACAAGACAGGACGAGGAGTGATTGAAGCCTGGGCCTCGGATTACAACTCATTCAACCGAGGAATTGAGCTGGCGTCCGCATACATTGCCCTCCGCAGGCATATCCACACGGTCGACACTGGTGATTAATGAGTTCCCTCCCACCTCGCCCCTATAACGGTTGATTGGCTCCTGCGCCCTATAACTGTCGCTCTTTCTTCGTTGACGGTTTACCTCTGACGAGGAACTGTCCCAAAAGCCCAAAACGCCTTCGTCTTTTCCACTGCAATGGCATTTAACTGTAGGTATGTGCTCCTAAATGGACCGCGTGGTAGATGTGCTGAACCAGCACGGTGCTAGATCCGGGCACGACAGGAGTTATTCGGGTTCCGCGCCGACAACAAATACCGAACATGTGGGGCATCGTGAGGACACGTGTCAGTCAACT